TTCTTTGAACGATAAATTGAGGATATAAAAAGGAAATTAAATAACTTCCTCTATAATTAGTGTAATATCTGATGTAATATAGTTTCATGTTTCCATTTAATTTTATAGATGCAGGTAAAATTAAGAAATTTATACGAGGGAAAAATTTCGAGGAAAAAAAGGAAGGGAGAGCGATTGATTGACGGTTGGTGAGGCAAGAAAAAGAGGCACGATAAAAAGACACATCCCCTTTAATGGAAGGATAAAGGGGTGGAAGGCTGAAACGGAAATAAGACAAATTCCGATTGATCATTCAGGAGGACAGTCAGAGAAGGGAAGAAAGTCGGGTAATTGAATTATGGTCGAGCAATTGTCGAATTCTCGTAATAAAATGTGATAATCGATTAAATCGAAGGAAAAAAAAAAAAAAAATTGGGATATCGACGAAAAATAACGATAACTATTCTCTGTGAGAGATAAAATCAATAGAACGTAATTATTTTTATTAATTGTTTCCTCAACTTGGTTAATTGAATATAATAAAAATTTACGAGCGCTCTGTCGATAAAAATGGATACAACCGATAGCGCCATATTTCATCTCAAATAAATAGCAGCACAAATTAAAAACTTTCATTTCGAAAGTTGCTGAAAATAACTGTCCTATTGCTAGTTACTTTAAACGTTGTTAAAATGATAAATAGAGGAATCGATACTTTTTTTTTATCACAGATTTTCATATCTTATCATGAAATTATATCATTATTTTATCAAAAAAATTCTTCTTTCATTAATTAATGAAACTTTAACTTAAATTATTAAAATATTATAGAAATATCATGATACATTTAGATTAATCAGAAAATTGTTTTCTTAAAAATCCTATTTCTTGTATATCTATGCATCTTTTCCAGTTTGAAAACAATTACAATTTATCAATTATAATTTAATTTCATTCAGTTTACCAGCATATATTATAAATTTTTAAAGAGTCTGAGTATGCAACTTCTTGTCTCTAACGTCTAATCTTTAATTGTTTAATATACTTCGTCTTAATTGCTTTATCGAACGATATCATCTGATAACATCTGACATTCCGTTATCAACGAAGAAATTCCTAAACGTGCAATACCCTCGGACGAACTATGTAATAAAGACATTCCGTTGAATAGCTAGAATGCGATTAGATTGTCGTTTCCACCTTTTCAAATTAGTCCTGTTTCTTTCTCAACGTGCTTATAAATGATAGCATTATGATAGTAATTAAACTTGTATCTCGTTTATTAAAGACAAATTGTTGCTTTCTTCAACTTATTTCTCAAATCTTATGAGAACTGGATCGAGAAACATCAATTTAAAAGTTTGAAAAGAAAAGAAAAATTTTAAATAACTATTGGTTTTTAAAAAATGTTTTAAATAAATAGTTAAAAAAATATCAATTTTAATCTTTAAACTGAGAATTCCAAGATTCCAAGACTTTAACTGTTGTAATTAAAATTACCTTCTTTTCAAATAATTTTATTTCAATTTTATTTCATGATGCAAAATAAATAAATTCTCTGTGTAATTCAAGATACTTTTATACAAGAATATAATATTTTTTTTCATAAAAAAATTATAGCATTACAATATCAAATAATCAAGTTGATTGTAAAATAAAGTAAACGAATCGCAATTTTGCAATAATCGATAAGATTGCGTTAATTAATTAGAAGAGATCCATCACAACGTTCAAATGCAAATATTCTCGGTGCATAGGGTCATCAGTGTCTCAAAGTAAGTAATCTTGATAAATAATAAAACAGGAGGAGAAATCGAGAGACGGGCGAGCGGACATTTTCTTTAATTAATGAAAGGGAATAATTAAAGAAATGCGAATGTGCGGTGTATCGCTTCATTATTTAATTTTCCCTTTCATTAATCAACGAGCTAATTGCGCGCGAAGCAATTTAATATTCGATCGGCCGAATTGGCACGAAACGCCATCAGTTGTAAACACAAGGATACCCGCCAACATTTATTCGATGATAGATTTTCAAACAGATATTTATTGAATGTTTAGATAATTTAAAAAAAAATAGATATAAAATGATGAAAATAAAATTAATCGATAAACATATACGAATTATGAGAAAAGAAAAATAATTTTAACAATACACTTGACTGTACTTCATTTCGAACGAAAAATGTTCTATAATTGATTTGAAGAATAATTAAAAAATGTTTAATTAAATGGGCAATCATTATTCAAATTTTTCCAATAAATAATGAATGAAAAAAGTGAATGTTGAATATAATTAAATCATTTTTATTTTCTTTTTATTTTATCAATTAATATATAAATTTACTAATATCATGAATGTAGTAGTTATTGACCTATAATAATTAATTATACAAATAATATAATTGACTGCGATTATAAGTGTTCTTATATAGCTCGAGGATTTATTAAATTGATAGAAAATAAATGATTTATATAAATATAAATTACCTATATTTAATTTATCACAATTTGTAAAAACAAAAATCTCCTGATTCATCTGAAAATTTTATTTGACACAGAAAAAACTAACATGAAAAACAACTTTTCTTTATTATCAGAAAACAAATGACACCATTCTATATTTTTCAATTCATAATATACACAAATAAAATTCGTTGTCGCACATGCAAACACAATTGACACTATCAATAATTTCAATTATCATCTCGCATATAGAAAGAGGGGGAAAAAAGAGTGGGTGCGAATCAAAATGCAATTTTATCGTTACGTGGTATCGTCGATGAGTGTTTGCAAAGAGGGTGAGCTCGGGTGGTGGAAAAAAAATTGGGCAGAGAATGATGCGCGCGAGATCGATCGACGTTCTGTGACACGTGCCAAGAATAATTGACTGTTAACACATCAATTGACGAGCGGAGTGACTGGCGGCAGTCTGTTGTTTCGAAACACACCGAAACTGGTGGCCAATGGTGATCGACTCGTTACACAGAAATTGATACACTATTTCGTGAGAAAAAGAGATGAACGAATTACATAGGTGAGTTTCAAAAATATTTCGAACGATTCAATCGTGAATTAAATCTGAAATATTTATTTCTTTTTTCTTTTTTTGTTCTTAATTAAATTAATTTCTTAACCAGAATTTTGTTTAATTATTAAATATAATTCGTTTAAATTGTTATATATACTCGTTATTCGTAATTACGAGTGTCGAGAAATACTTGTCTGGTTATACGCGTAATATATACGCGTTGCATAGTTGTATTTTATTGGTATATTTATTTTTAGAGTTTCATTAAAAGTTTTACACATGTACATAACTAAATCTTGTAATATAAGGTAGAATACAAGAGAATATATTTCAAACGAGAAAGGTAAAATTAAACTTACGTTTATGAGACACAGTGGCACGAAAATAAACGTACCCTACCATTCTCTTAGAAACCTGGATCTCCGCCAAAAATTCGAAATTTCTTTACACTACAAAATGAAATAAAGTGAATTTATATTAATATAAAATAAGTAAAATATTTAATTAATTACATTTGATGCGTGAAATAAATTAAAAAAAAAATCGTATATTTCAAAAATATAATATGTATTAAAATTTTTAAAACAATTTTCCCATTATCGATATTTTTCATTTCTATCTTTTTTTGTAATTCGAAATACATTTTATCGTAACGCTTCAACAAATCCTTTTCCGTGTCCAACCATTATTTAAGTAATTCCAAAGAATTGAACTGAAAATAGAAAGAATAAATTAGCTGCGAAAGGTAATAACAGATTCGAAATGATTGATAATGCATAAACGAATCGGGCCACTGGCCACTGAATACCCTACTTACCCTACGAATCGGATAAACACGATTCTTTCCCAGGATTTCAATCCTCCGATATTCCATCACGCGTTAAAACGCAAAAGCAAACGCGCTTTTTGCATTGTCCACGGCCCCAACCTGATTTTTATGTATTCTATCGTCGCAGCGCCGTCGCGTCGCCGGCAATCGGTGAATTACGCGAATTGAAAAACCGCCCGGGGGGTTTCATGAATCTCTCGATAATTTATCGATTAAGCCCTGCGCGGAATACGAAAGCCGGTTTCAGCGCGATTCCCTGTGGTGCTATAGCCGATTAAAATTCGCCTCACACTTGTCAGATTTCGTGTGGCTCCCCTCTCCACCCCAAAGCAAAGCAAACCGTGGGCTTTCGAAATTTCGTAATCGCCTTTTAATTTTGCGCATCCTTTTATCTTTCATTCCTTTCCGCCGAATCTTGCTTTTCCCGCTATTGGCGGAACGATGAAAAAAATTCCCAAAAAAGGAATTACATCCCTTTTTTCACTCGTTAAATCACTCGTTAAAAATCGAAGATCGAAAATCGTGAAAATTTATTCGATGATACGGGCGCACAATTTTTGAAATCTGAAAAATTTACATATCGTTTAGAAAGTATAAAGTTGTTAAATGTGTATTTTAAATGAGTTTTGTGAAGATCGAATATGATATTAATGGAAATACGAATCTTATTGAAAACATAAAATGAGATTTTTTTTTAAGTTATTTACAATTACTAAAAATACTAAATATTATTATGCGTTACTAAATGTTACTAGATGTGACTATTATTTATTTTCTTTTTTTTGAAAAACACTTTGCACCATTGTTCCTTCGAGATCTTGATTTATCTTCAAGAAATAAAAATTTAGGAGATGAATT